CGTTTTTCTACTTTTAAAGGAAATGTTGAATCCTCTTGTTTCTTAAATCGATCTAGATATTTTTGTCGCATCGATTTCTCCATCGTTCTGCCTGTAAAACTGTCATAACCATTAAAAATGCTATGCTTTACGAGGTGCTTCATATTTTATGTTGGGACATTACTTTATCTCAGCTGGCGTTCAGACGTATCATAGACGTTTAAAGATTTTATTACGTGCTTTCTTATATTTTTCATTAAATTTTTAAGTTGAATGGCAGCCATACTAGCGCGATTAATTTGTATTTTAACTGTCGGGCCGCCAATTAAAACGGAAGACAGCAAATTTTGTCTTTTAAAAAAACTTCTACGAAAAGACTGACTTAAAAGTTTAAAAATACACTGATCGTATGAATTGTTTTTTATTTAGAGAGAAAATTGATTCGTAAGACAAATTTTTCATGCTACGCATTGCTTCCGAGCAACTGAATTGAGGTACATGTCTGACCATTATCTGGCATTTCTACTTGTTTTCATCTATATTCTCTTTTCTCACTAATGAGTATCTCGATGGTTTATATTACTTTATTATACGCATAAATATGACAGTTTAAGTTAAAATTATGGGAAGAAAATGGGTTCTGAGAGAAATTTTAAACGCAACACTCTCGACATTGATCCATCGATCGACGTTCACCGCGTTATTAGTTAAATAATAAGCTCCACCATGAATTTCATTGTCACGAAGACATCGCCGAAACCCAATATTTATTTTGCAAGAAATTTTGCTCGAAAAATCTCATAGCCGAGGTGGGCAAAAAAAAGGAATTCTATTATATCGACGACGTCAGGCAGTAAGCCTCGAGGCCATATTTGATCTGCCTCGACGTTAAGAAAAGGCTGTAACGTTTCACCGAGAAGGCGAAGGAAATAGTGTATTAAGTAATTGGCTCCCTTTTTATTTATCGTTTTTCGCTAGTGTATTTATGACCGAGAGGTAATTAATAAACGTTGCCATTAGGGTTGACTCAAATTTACTAAGAGAATGATAAATGAGGACTTAAGAATATTGTGAAGAAAATATCTTTAACATTCGCTATCCTTGCAACAAAAAAAAATCCTGGAGATTCGAATCAGGTGATCGAGGAGAACATTCTGCTTGACCTCCTTGTCCTATCCATCTCTCACCGGAAGGTTCCATTTAAATGTTGTCTCGCATTGATTGAAAAATGTGGTGGACCTTCAACGTCCTGAAACTGCATGCATAATCCACTCCGATACGTCGCGTCGTTCGGAACGTCGAGTAAATCATTCGTTAAAAAATTACAGTAACGTACACTCGCCATTCATCTACCGAGAGAAAATTTCTTTATTTGACTATCGAAGAAAATTTATAAAATCATCAACGAAATATCAATTTTATCCTTTATCTAGAGGGTCGGAGGGATTGATTTTGGAACTCACGTTGATTAAACTTTTCTACATTTTTGTAGCGATCTGTACGGTAGATTACGTTCGAGTAAACAACGTGCATTAGCGCGCATCGAAAGAAGGAAGCACGCTTCGATTTGTGTTGCGAACGCAGACGAAAGAGGGGTGGAAATAACACGGTATTAAAGCGATATGTGAAAGCTCTGGAAGGGGTTGCATTTCGTTGGAGATTCCCGAGGCGTCTGTTTGTCCTGCGACGAGGCTTGCACTTTGATTTCGAATCGATTCGGTACGAAGGACGCGGTATAAAAACGTGATACGGTTAAGAAGCAACGCGGAATGTCTGCTACGTTATTATTTCTTTTTATTAACTACGATCAAATTGCTGGTCACAAACATTTTCTGTAATTTTCAGTAAAATAGATACCTCGATGTACGACTGCGAGAAAGTCTAGCGATCTTTACGGTTATTTACAACACCTGAATTACGTCGAGGCAAGAAGTAATCCTTTGTCTGAATATTAATTCACATCTAAATAAGCGACGTGTCTTTTCGTATTAAACCGTCAGTAGCTTTTAATTAAAGAACGTATTCATTGACACGAACGGGAAGGGATGTTTTAAAATTCCTATTCATCGCCGAAGAAAATTCTGAGGGAAGCGTAAGACAGGAAGATGCGAATCTTCCCACAAAGGCGCACAATTTAAACGTTTCTTGAATGTTCCGGAACTTTCCCAACCGGCAAAATTGCAGGATCAATATTTAACGCGGATCCGTCGTAAATTTTGCACAATACTGCACGAAATGTTCCAACTTTACAAGCAAATAATCCACGATACAAATTTATTTCGCTTACTCTATTGAATTACACGTTTTATACGCGTTCCGTTTTTGAAGGGATAATATCTTTTGTAGTGTTGTTAACACGAACGAGGACAAAAACAGAACGTTCGGAAAAGGTTTATCGCGAATTCGACGTGACAAAAATATATTTTTACGTATTCGTGAATTTCTGTTTAATCGACTGCAAGTGAAACGCATCGATATATGATCAGACGGCGCTGAAAATATTTTTACATTTAATACAGCAAACGATTCGATCGCTGTCTAAGCGAAATAAGTATGTATAGGTCAGAATAGAGAACAATTTTTGATGAACGATAAATAAATACAGAAAGGAACGAAGGGAAAAATGTAAATCAAGAAATTGCTGTTCATTGAAATTGTATGGACGTTCAAGTAGAAACGAACGGAATTTTCAATGGAAGAGGGACAAACGTAAATCGTGCTTTGTCTTTATCCATTTTTCATACCCGATATTTCATGGTGCGATGTTGGGACGGTGTAACCGTCTCTTTTTCGTGGAACAAGCCGAAGCTGAGAAGAAAAGTATTGAAAGCGACTCCCGCGGGACGCGGACGAGCATAGTCATCGAAACTGTCCAACGAAAGCGTTGGCAGTAAAACTTTTATTTTACGTATTCGATAGAACATTTAGCAAACAATTTAGAAAATAAGTGGAAGGATAAGCGAAAGAATACAACGCTGGAAATCGTAAAATCGAGCCTGCCTTTCGTGAAAAATAATATATCTGGATCTGCGCTCGAAATTAGAACTATCAAATTTAAGAAACGTATGTCGAATGAATTCTTGCGAACAAATGGAGTACGAAGAGAATTAATGGACGCTTCTGCTAAATGGTGTGGCCGAGCATGCAAACAAAACCGCTGCAGAAATGGCTCGATACACGTTATTGGATTCGAACCTGCCAGGAAGCTTATGGGCAGACGCCATCAATACAGCTCATTTCGTAATGAATAGATACCAGACAATAGCGGCGTATATCATTACACCTATCGAAGATTGGACAGGCTACAAATCCCAGAACATTTGTGTCTCGAGCTCTTTGATAGCGAAAAATTTTGGTTACAAAGAGAGGACGCAACTCTGACCCCTCGTTAATTTTAACCAGAATTCAGACAATTAATTTTGACACGAAAATAAATTAAGTGTTCTGGATCGTTGAGCATTAGCATGGAAGATACGAGTATTTGACTTTGTAAATATTGTATGGTAAAGTGGTATTGGAAAATTGCATCGAAGAATGTGGGGTTTGTTGTAATATTAATAAGGGGACATTTTAAGGAAAATTTAAGATAAAAGAAACGTCTTCTAACTAAAAATAGTAATGTGCGTGTTCTAGAAACTGGAAGGTAGAAATAACACAAAAAAACAAAAGTATACATTGTGTGTGTATTTAATCGAATTGAAGAAAGGAAGTAAGAACACCCATAGGAGCAGACGAGGGAAAAGAAACCGGCGAAGTAAAAACAAAGGTAGAAAAAGCAACTTATGAATGATTCACTTCACGAAGGTTCATAAGAAGACGCAACATCCTTGGAAACTCCCAGACAACCTCCAGGAGGACCTAAATTATTAACGCATTGCCCGCCAAGCACTTTATTACTAACCATACTCGCCAGTTATTTAAACAGCCTCTCACGACGGAATAGAAAACAAAATGTATCTTGCCACCCGCCTTCGACGTATCGAAAGCAGATAAACCAGGTAATTTATAATTAAAGTCTGTAGAACAAGGGACGGTAAACGAAGCACTAAAACGAAGAGACAAGAATTTACGACTGTGCTATGGAAAATGGAATACGCTGCAGAAAAATGATACATGGGACCTTGCAAGAAGACTAAAGGACAAAATAGTGCTTTGGTACAAATGGGTGTACGAAATCAAAACAAGAAAATATGATATCGTGGAAGAACGTGAGGGTAGGTTAGTTTCCAAGGGGCTACGTAGAAAAAGGGATCGATTACCAAGAAATATTGACGACGGTTGCAAGGTATGAATCAATTGTATTGTTGCCAGAAACACCAGAAAAACCGGACGTAGAATTAATTTCGTTCTTTCTTTACGGCGCTTAAATCGCTGGATCGCATGATCGTCTTCGAGGTACGATACTTCCTCCGAAAACAATTACGGGGAAGAATAAAAACGACCAACTCGAGATTTATTTACTGATATTGGAAGAGATTCTTTGCGCTAAACGCTAAATACTCTGAACGTCTCGATTATATTTCCATAATTTAAGAAAGTATGAATGTACTGCAGGATTTTAGTTTGGACTTTTCTTATTTTGTTATTACATGTATAATTACATGTATAATTAAAATAAACTTGAATAAAAGAATTTAAATATTCTGTACCAATTGGTCCGATAGACATTTCTCCATCGAAGAATCTCGTAGAAGCTCTAGTCTGAAAAGCAAACGTGAAATTGAACGAGGAATGGGTGAATACAGTAAGGAGGGTGGAATCTGTTCGTAAAGTCCGAACGCGAACGGGTGGCTCGTCGATTAACATCGACGTAATTAGGAAAAATCAACATGGGGCGTTTGCGTTTGATCGCGCAAAAAGCCAACGTACCGTCGAGCGTAGTCGCATTGTTGTGCGCGCGTGGGTGTGACGCGAAGGACAACGCGAAAGGGAAAACGTGGAGGGAGGTGAAAATCACCCCGGGGGAAGGGGTGAAGGAGAGTTCGCGGAGCATCGGCCAGAGGGCGTTGGATCTCCAACAACATGGCCGTCTAACACCGACACCCCGTGCGAGTCTCCACGAAGCTGTTCGGCCGGATTTCAAGGAAGCACTCAAGTTCCAACGACCAGGCTCGCTGACGGCCGACGTTCGTGAGTAACTGCACATTTTTAACGATACTCGGACCGTTGGTGTCGCGAAATATTCGCGCGAAAACGTCGATCAGGCTATCTCTGCTCGATCTGCGTGCTTTGTCCGGCAAAGGAAACGCACCCATCTCTCGCGTGTATCTACGCCGCTCCGTGCGCTGGTGTGCGTTGACATTGGCGATCAATAGAGCCGATGTCTGGAGATGGACTCGATCCTCCGCGAGGAATCCTTGATCGATGACGTGACCGACGATCGACCGTGTACGAAAACTTGGAAAAGTTTTTTTTTTTATCGCTGGGATTAGGGGAACGGTATCGATGCAGCCTTTGAGCCATAGTTTGCGGTTGTCGCGACGCGTATGGAGCTGTACGGCGAAGTTTGAACACGCGTAGCAACCGGTATATCCTTAATAAAGACGGTTGTCGTTTTCGAGATCGAACGACGTCTCGTAAAATATTTAAATTCCAAAGATTTATGTCCTCGTGCTTGAAATTCGTTCGATTAAGTTTGAAAATACGAAGCTTTCTATAGAAATTCGCGCTGATTGCAATAAGTCTTCAGTTTCTCCACAACCTGTGAAATTTATTTAAAAATAGCAGCTCAAAAGAAAATTTTCTTCGCTCTATGAAACATAAATAAACATTGCGTGAAAGGAAACTTCTGAACTTGCATTCATTTCCGTGGAATTAATTCCTGAGGAATAGTAAATTTTTTAAAAGAATTTTATGTCTCAGCCCTCTTGATTATTTGATTACCTTTAACTTTATTCGCTATTACGGTGTTTAATTTCACAGGCAGATGAAACCTCACTGAACGATTGTGTTTGCATTCTGATGCTTAAAATACTAAAACATCAGTTTTAAATTCCGTTAAGAGTAGCAGAGATGTCTGGTGTTTATTATGTAAGGAGAGTTTTATGAACTTGTGTTTACATTACATTTAGCAATTTAAATGCAGTTGGGTGTCATTCCTTAGGACTTCGCTATAAGGAGCGTAATCGTGGGCGAATTTAATTATGCGATGAAATGTGTTTGTGCGAGTTTACGAGTTGTGCTGTGTTGATATCAGGCTTTGGTGTAATAGGCAAGGTAGATCATGGAATTATTTCTGTTTACAAACATTAGACATCCACTGCAATTTCCATTCATCTTATATCAATAGTCAACTAACAAATAAACAATAAATTACTATTTCGAGCACACACAGAACTCCTGAAATGCCCATTTAAAAGTTGTAAAATGTTTTATTGAATATTAAAGGAACGCGTCCACCCTCGTTGCGCCCTCAAAAAAGATTTTCGTTGATTACTAAGCCATTTCATCTGTTCGTGACGTCTCGGGCAGAAAGTTTGTCGAATAAACAATCTAACAATCCATCACTACCTTCAGTTTCGTTGACACGTGTGTCTGTTTCTACTGTCGCCAAACCCTCGTTACGGTCGATCAACCTCCTGTGCTTCCATCCCGCTCGAAGTCTTGTAAACGTTTCTGCGTCGTTGACTTTTCCGCCGACCCGCGGGGAAAGAAAATGGACCCGCGATAAATTTTCCGTCGTTTACGGCGCTGTTCCGTCTTAGTATCTCTGCGCGATTCCGTTGATACGATCTTCATCCAACCTTTTACGTAACCATTGTTATTTGTGTCCCCATTTCGTTCTCGTTTTGATTTCTCTGTCTACCATTTTTATAGAAAAATCATACTTATTTCCACGAATAATTACAAAAGAATGGTATTTACTCATAATTAGAAAAATAGCAAATGAGAATTTGGCAGATCGAGCCTCTTAAATTACGAATGGGAGCAGACCCGTATAGTTTACTTGTTTTTTGCGAATTTTTTCTACGAAAATTATAATATACGAATTATAAAATACGAATGCAGTTTGTAAAATTCGCAGAAACATGGTTCGCGGAATAAACATCGTCCGATTTCACCAGAAACGGTAATTTGAAATATTTAATTAATAATTAATGAAATAAAAATACTTCTGCTAATGTTTCACTGCATCCGTCTCTGTACACGATTTACGCGAAGCTAATATCACAAACATTGCAAATCCGGTTGTCCAGGAAACAGCTGTTCGCTGAAGCTTCCACGAGCTATTAATTTGGTTATTAATTAGATAGACACTTCCCTTGAACGTGTTACACGCGTTCAGAGACGAAAAAAACTCGGGGAAACGAATGCTGTTATTCAATTATTAATTCTCAATATCCCTATTCTAGATTATTTTTTTAAATATCCCATTTATTATTGTAATTCATGCACTATACGAGTCTACAAGCACGTGATGCTTTGTTACTGTACGATATAATTGTCCATATTTATTACACTACTTAATTTCAAGTCGCCATCAATTTCTAAGTAGTCGAATCAACACATAGTCAGCCGCGCACGTATGTAACAAATAACTATTCCATAGTTTTCTAACATGCTTAAGGAACTAAAAATATATATCTTTGGTCAAATAAAAAATTATTCATCGTACGTAAAATGCAATAATTAAACTAAATGAATTTTTCAATTCCCCTGGAGATATCCAAATAATTTCGACGGTCCACAGCCCCGAATCATTATACATTTAATGCATCGATACGCGGAAATTCCAGCAAAATTCTGATCAATAGTCGCCATCAATTTCCAAGTAGTTGAATCAACGATGAAGTCAGCCGTGCACACTGTACGATCCAAAGATATTCGTTTTGTGTGTTTGACATCGACGTTTGACATTTCACGCTATTGTTCGTCGGTCGTCCAGCGGTGAAACGCGCTTTGACGAAGCTGCTACGATCCCAAGATCGCTTTATAATCCCTGGTGCCAGTTGCATCTATCAACAGGTGCACAAAAGTGCGCACGCGGCTCAATAAGCAGTTCTCACGAATCACAGCCTACAATCTCTCCAACATTCTCGGTGGAAATTAAACACTGTGATGAAATTGGAATTACAGTATGACTCGAAAAGGAAAAGGTCAACGGAGAACGGCACTGGAATCTCGTGAATGTGTTTGAGGACAATGTCCTTCAATTTACTTTCGTTGGAAAGCTATTTCGGTGGCATCAATGAATTATTTCTTGGTAGGGTTCCATGTAACAAGTAGGTCAGGACCTCGTTGCCCAAAGTGTTAATGAATTGTGGCACGTTGTGATGAAAATTTCATAAGTTCGGTTTACATTTATTTTAATCTGTTGATTAAAATAATTTCACGTATTGATCGAAGATAACCAAAAAAGAACAGAGGTCGAAAATGTTTTCAAATATGTTCGGCATAAAAAAATTGCTCCAAGTATTTCTATTTTAAAAAATTTAGTAATAAAAAGTCTTCCGATGTTTTGACCAAGGATAGTCAGGGTAGGAGGGACAGTAAATAGTAATTTGCATGGAAAACAAGCGGTATTGGCGTCGTTTCCAATAAGCTCGTTGCCGTATAACATGGAAGAAAAATGTTCTAACGCGTCAGCAGTTTAACCGAGCGATTTCTGTCTGGCCTTTTACGCAAGAGCTAAAACCGACGAGCGGAAAAGGGAGTGGCTGGCACCCGACACGGGTCAGAACTTTGTTTGGTGGTTTAGGGTTACTCATCGACGCGAATCCGAGCCGAATACAGCCGAGATTGATGCCAAAGTCTCGAAGTTGATGGCAGCACTCGCGGGCCAAGTCCTTCCGGAAACCGAAATTCGACTTCGAAGGCCAGTCGTTCATCGTCAGAAAGATATCGAATATCAACGTTACACGTAACCCGATACCGACGCATTCTTGGCGGAAGGTTAAGCTAGAAACATTTAGACGAACAGAACTAACAAATATTTAAAACAAAAAAAAATATTTTATTGTAAACTCATTTTTTTTTGTAGAATTTAAACTCGATTTGCACTGTCGACCAGCCCGTAAAATGATTCTTTTTTGTTCTTTTATGAAATTAATTAAAAATATAAGCTCGTATCGAGGACAGTAGCTTTATTACAAATGTAATCAGTTTACGCAAGTAGTAATGTCGCGATTGACGCGACGGTAGCCAAAGCCTGCGATTGACGTTCCCATTGCACTGACATTCGAGCAACGGGGTTAATTACATATACTCACGAAGACCTTGCGAATCGAAGACCTCCAACAACAAACGTTCATTTTTCTTCGTTCACAACAATCAACGGACCCTCTCTTCGAGACAGAACGATTGCATTCTGCACTCTCTCGTCTTCGTACAGAACTTTGATATTTTTATTTGACTGATATAGAGAAAGATTTCAAGGCAAAATACGAAACAAATTATATATAGAATAGAATAGTTGTGATTGGTTCCGTGTGACAATTTTCATGGTTTTGCATAAACTGTTGTCGATTCCGTTAATACCGAAAAAATACCGAAGAAAATAAAGCAGCAAATTTTGAACGTTTACAAAGAATGTATGAACCAGATCGGTGAATATTATTTACACAAGCGAGGCTTTTTTAAATAATATTTTTCGCAATTTTCAACAACACGTACGCGCTACCGGACGGATCGAAATCGTTTTAAAAATTCCTCTCCCGCGAACGAGCACGACAGAAACTCGTCGAGCCCATTGTTTGCTGGTTGAATGCAACCCGTTGTACCGGATGCAACGCGGGATTCGAGAAAATCCTTTTTTGTAACGTCGACAAATCCGCGTGAAAGGACAGCTTAAGAATTTTAGCGGTCGTTTTAATTATTAATACAGGAAGGTAACCTTAACGTTCTTGACGATTTAAGAAGGCAGCCTGGAAATGAAAAAGGGCGTTTATGGAATTTTATAAAAGGGAAACTGTTTAGGATATCAAAATACGAAGAGCAAATTCTAGTAGAAATGATTGCTTCCCCTTTCTCAATATTAACAACGTTATCAGAAGCAGAGCGAAAGAGTAACAAACCCGTATTTCATACTTTGCACATACTTTCGTGCATCGTGCAATAAATTCTGCGAAACAATAAAAATGTTTCGAATTATCTGACAATATTTTTCAGTGAAACTATTCGAACAATGTCGC